TCGGCACGGACGGCAAAGATGATCTTGCTCGAGTTCATGATGCTGTCGTCGTCACTGGGACGAACGGTCGTGGGGTCAAAGGACGTGAGGTTGGCAGCGAGGAGGAACGTGCCGAGGGCGGAAAATGCGACCATATCGTTTTGGCTGTGGCTGGAAAATTGAGTTTTGAGTTGGGATTCGTGCCGCATCCGAGTGTGTGGCACGTGATCAGCTGCATCTCGTGTCTCGGACCGTGAATCCAAGCAAAGTGTGGCACTTGGACGAAAAACGGCATGTCTGTAGACTGCCGCAGACAACAGTAGGACTGACTCTGGGCTTTGTGGCTGTGGTACCGGTCCTGGTAGTTGCACGGGAAGGAAGGACGCCATGTTTCGTCAAATTCGGATGTCACACTGAGCTTTCAAGATGTACTAGAGGGTATCACGAGGATGCCCTCTCGTAGATCTTAGGATCGTCGTGTCGAACAGTATACTAGTACTACATTACATGTATATTCTGTTCGACAAGACGATCGAGTACAAGTATGTCACACGTTTGTTTGTTGTTGTTGAAATGAGTATTCTCGTTATATTAAGGGTCCTATTTCTAGGGTCGTCCTACCTCCAACCTAATATCCGGTAGGCACGAGTTACCGGCATATGCCGTTTTCATCATGCTTCTTCCATGTGTTCCTTGTGGCGCTTGCCAAGTGTAGCCCTATTACCGGTATGGTGACCGTCTTCAGTGACATTCGTGTCCGGATGGGGGAGTCACCCGTTTGTTTGTAAACTATTCGTCTCGAGCAGCCAAACAGTTGAATTCGTACGAGCTGCCAAATTGAGGATTGGCATGACCGGGACCGCTCCGCGGCTTGGCTTGTTTTGCTGCTTGGACTGCTCTTTTTCTATTCTTCTATTGTTCGCGAAACACCTCTTTCTCTTCCTGAAAATGGCCCGTTTGTCTCGAGCAGCCAATCCAGCACCACCCGAGTATCTCGTGACGTGGGCTTTTCGTGAAGCAGGAGAGAAACATGCAATCTTGGATTGGATCGCCGTGTCGAAAAGGGATACTTCTACTAGTACCGGTACGTCGCAGAAACGTACAGTACCTGGTACCGTTGGTTGACTGTGAATGCATTTTCTATTGTGTTGAAAAGATTACATGCTAGATGCAGAGCCTGAAGCAGCGACGGGCGGATAAAACAACTTTGCGAGAAACATGGCCAATGCTACACTTTAGCTCCCAGGTTGAATGCCAGCACAAGAAGCATCTCGAACTTGGCGTTGCCGAGTTTTGTCGCAACGGCGAGTCGATCAGCTTGCAGAGCGAGAAGACGCGCTCCTGGAGGGCATGATACGCGAGCTCACGAGCTGCAATGCGCTCGATGAGTCGATGGTGGCGGCCGTTTTTGCGCCACCAGAGGTTGACGTCGAAAATCTTTAACCTGGTACGGCATGCTCCTTGGGGACGAGGTGCGCGTGATTGTTTTCATGTGGCGGATCGCATTCGATGAGTTCGACGCGTGAAGTGCGACGCGACAATCGCGGAGTGGTAGCTTCGACTTGAGGCACACGCGGCACTCGACTATGGACTTGGCGTCTTCCTCGAGCTTACCAAAATGCTTTCAAACCCACGACGACTTGCCGGTAATTGCAATAAGCGTCGGGGCGGTCGTAGCGGTGCTGGTGTTGGACGACATGGTGTCGATTCGACGCAAGAAACGGTGATGCTCCTGCGCTGCTTTGGTATTTCCTTCCTCTCCCCCAGCCATGCGTTGCCACGACAATTGCAAGCCAGTACGTTCCGTAGCGTATGTGCGTAAAAGGACCCTCTGCCGGGGATCGAAGTGGGACCATCACACACTAACTCAACCCACTCACACACACTCACTCAGGCACCCCGCTGAGTGAATCGGCACTCACTCAGAGTGAGTGTACTCTGAGTGGGTCAAACCTATTCACGGGCCACTCACTCGCCATCCCTGATCACGTCATACATGTTTGGGTGCTGATGTTGTGGCTCTTGGAAGACAAGTCTGCTCTCTGCAGCTTGTCATATCGAAATTGGCCAGCAACTGAGCTCTTCTAGTCTTTCTAAACTTTTGCTACGCAATAAAAACCACTGCTGCATCTTGGCAAGACGATGTAATTGTACAATGTCCGCATGAACCCGAACGTGTTGCACCGGAAGCACACGCCTGTCGAATTTCAGTCGTAGACAGTCGCCGTCGGGACGACACAGGGTCCGGGTTTGCCATACCGGTACTAACCTCTGATAACATGGGTGGAAGTTTTCGTGTGAGTTTTCGCATGTCTAGTACCACGTACTAGTATCCGCTTTCAACATGGCGATCCAGGATGGTCTTTCTTATTGCCTTTCTTATCGCCTTGGCTGCATTTCAACAATCAAATCTAACTTGAACACATGTCTCGCATGCTGCAGCCGATATTGAGGTTGTTGGCAGCATAGCCATCGCAACGTTCGCGTCGATCGTGTGCAGAAGCGTACTACTCTTAGGTTGGATTCACCAGTCTGCGAGCCACAACTCAATCTCACCCTCGCTCCCACACGATGGTCGCCCTCTCGGCCCTGGGTGCTCTCCTACTCGCTGCCAACCTCACGTCTTTTGACCCGAGCACCGACCGTCCCAGTGCCAATGACATGGCGAAAACGATCTTTGTCGTCCGTGCTGACTTGTCTGGTGGACGGTTTGCGTCTGCCAAGCCCGTGTCCAACGTCACGTTTCCCGTCGCCGATCCTGCATCAACCGTGTACATTACGTTCGACAGTGCGTCGAAAGCGGTGAACGCTGTGATGCCTCCCAAGGCAATAACTAACTTTGTGTACGCACTCATCTTCAGCTACAGCGGCGGGCCACGCGTTTGCGACGCCATGGCGGGCAGTGCCTCCAAGCTCAATGCGTCGGTCGAGCTCCAGTACGCAGACGGGGTATCGACGTCCCACAACTAGCAGACGACACCGGACATCCCCATGTCGCGCTCGGTAGAGCTCAGGTCGGACGAGTTCAGCCAAGTGGTCGTCCGCGTCGACGCTGGCTGCTTGGACGCTGCAGTGCAATTTGAAAGCAAGGACGGCCGCCGTCTCGTTCCGCCTCGGCTTCACGCGACGAGAGTACATGCGTTTGCACCCGTCCTCGACCATGGAGCGGTGCGGCGACTCGATCTACCCTAGCAAGATTGACCCAAGTGTCAACGTCGCTTTCACCGCGCCCAACGGAACGTGGGAACAGCAAACGATCGCGGACGATGCCACACTCTTTTTCGTCTACAAAGTGCCACTTTCGGGCCCGATGCGTACGGCAACAACGGCGACCAGCTCGCCAAGCACCACGCAGCAACCGGCGACGGCAACGCCAGCTCCGTCGGCCGCTTCTACCTTGGCGCTCCCCATGGGAGTCGTCGCGTCTCTTTTGTTCGTGGTGTTTTGATACATCATGGGTCTTGCTAATACAAAGCGTACGGTCCTACTCGTAGTTAAGGCTTCGTTTGGTGCGCCTCGTTTTCGCCTCTAAAACGTGTTTTTGCATGCTTCTGGCGGTCGCGCGCGTTTTTATGCACAAAATACGCAAAACACGTTTCGTGCGCGTTTGGTTGAGCGAAACACGTTTTTTTGGAAAACGCGTTTCGGCCCAAATCGGGGCCCAAAACGTGTTTTTGGAATAGGGCAAGGGGTATTATGGGAATTCGTTGGGGTTCATCAAATAGGTGATAGCTAATTGCCCTCACATGTCGACTGACGACCAACCACCGACGAAGTCAACGCCGCTGCTGCACTCGAGGTGCCGCCGGTCCTCACGCGCTCGTACGTGGCCCAACCTCCCCGGACCTCCATCCTCACGGGCGCGCTGTTCGTTCAAGAGCTCGTGAAATCGCCGAACCCGACGCGCTTCCACAGGGTAGCCCGAATGTCCGAGCCGACTTTCCTCCTCCTCGTGCAAGAGCTCTGCGCACGCGGTCTCGGGCACGGGGCAACGCCTGAAGCCTAGGAGAAGGTGCTCATCGCTATCTACATCTACTCGGGCTCGTCCAGCCGTCTCGCCCCAGAGCGCTCTCAACACAGCGGCGAGAAGACGATCTAGCGACTACATGGTGAGGAGCTCGCCGCGCTCGGTCGCCGCCAGGCCACCTACGTCACTCAGCTCACGAGCCGAGCCACGCCGCCCGAGACCCGAAATAGGAACTGGTTCGTAGAGCATGCACGCGCGTATAATCGGCCTAGAGGGTACTAAGGCGGGCGGTATTTGTGCCTTCGCGTAGTTGATCTTCGCCTTCTTGTCAACGGCGGCGACGGGGCTCGTGTAGGCTCTCCTCTTGAGGCTGCCAGCATCGGTGCCCTGGCCTAACACGTACACGCCTGTGAGGACAGGTATACGTTGTGATACAGCACCGCGCGCGATCTCGCCGATACGCAGTTCGAGGAGGAGCGCCGTACGCTCGTCCGTCCTGTTGGCCTCGGAAGGGCCCATCTTCGTCTGGCGGACTTCTTTGGACGCCACTAGCGCGTTGGTAACCTCCGCGCCCTTGGCCAGCTCCAACTCGCATTTCGTGTCAAAATGCGCACCAAACGCGCACGTTTTTGGAAAAACGTGTTTATATGGTTTCCGCATGAGCACATGCAGAAATGGCAAAAACACAAAACACGTTTTAAAACACGTTTTGCGCACCAAACGAAGCCTAAAATGCTGTTGGAAAAAAACCAATTGGAGGTAGAGTCCTGCATTCAGCCAGAATGTACCAATTTCTACACCACTAAGCTACGCGATGAAACTTGCATATTCTAGCCATGCAAAGTCGGTGCTCTACAGTCGGAGAGCTCGCAGGCGAGGTACACGGCGGACCTCAACCCAAGCCAAGAGACGAAAGCTGCAGTCGACGGCGAAGCATTCATACGAGGGTCGCTTCTCATGCAACGCGTAAAGCGAAGGGGCCAAGCAAGGGTGCCATCTTGAACCGCTTTGCTGAGCCGCCATCTCACCCAAGATGGCGGCGCAACCAGCTCGCATGTTATTATAGCAACGTGCAGCCGCCAAGACCAAAGACCAAACTGCCAATCTCATTTGCGATTTGCCCGTCGAGCTGCAACCCTCTACGTTACTTGACGTTCTTGTAGCCTATCCACCAGTCTCTTTTAAGCAGCGGCAGCCTCCCAACACGAGCCCTGCTAGTCTCCCCATGCACTTGCATTGATAGCCTCGGGGACATAATCCCCATTTCGCAAAAGAGGAGTTGAGTCGAAATAAGACAGTAAAGCGACGTCAAGAGTTCTCTCACACTTGAGGGCAGCCCATTGAGGGCAGCCACAACGGCTCCCCCAAGTGCCAGCATTCGTCCATTTATCCAATCTTGCGGGTACAGAGGGATGTCGTTTGCGTGTTGCAACCACACGTTTCGTAGCAGAGATTACTTTTTTGTCGTAATCGACGAAATCGATTAGGACAAAAAAGTCGGGGTGTTACTTTAGAGGACGAGGAAGACTGCACCAAGGCCCGCAACGACGCTCGAGGTGAACGGCAAAAGAAAGGAGGCGGATGTCGCAGCGGGGGGTGCTGTCGTCGTACTACCACTCGTCGTCGTTGTCGGTGGCACCGTCGTCGTCGTCGTTGCGGTCGTTGTCGCGGGCGGCGTCGTCACCGCTGGCGCAGAGTAGCGAAAGAAGCTCTTGGCGTCGTCTGCGACCGTCTGCGTCGCCCAGTTGCCTGCCGGTACGGTAAACGCAATGTTGTAGTTGGGGTCGATACGAATCGGGCGAACGGAGTATTGACCGCCGCACAACTTCATCCCTGACGACGGGTGCAGACTCACGTACTCGGCGCGCGTAACACCGATGCGGAACGAGACGGCGCCCGACGCATCGTCCAAGTTGCACGCGAACGTCGCAAACTCCATGCAGCCCGACTCGACGCGAAAGACAATTTGGCTCAGCGAGCGAGACCCAAAGCGGTCCGTCGACGTCGATGTTGGCATGGCGACTTTGGCCAATAGAGACTCGGTCATTGATGTCTTGTCTGCGAACTGGTACTCGGTCGAAGTGTTGAGGATGGTTGTGCCATAAATGCTCTGGGCGCACACACGAGGCGTGCCGCTACCAGCATAGATGAGCCAGCTGACAAAGTTGCGCGTGGCGTTGGCCGGCTTGACAGCGTCGATGGCGCGCGCGTAGCTGTCCTGCGAGATGTACACGGTTGACGCGATGTCGGCGACGGGAAACGTGACGTTGGACACGGGCTTGGCAGACGCAAACCGTCCACCCGCCAAGTCGGCACGGACGGCAAAGATGATCTTGCTCGAGTTCATGATGCTGTCGTCGTCACTGGGACGAACGGTCGTGGGGTCAAAGGACGTGAGGTTGGCAGCGAGGAGGAACGTGCCGAGGGCGGAAAATGCGACCATATCGTTTTGGCTGTGGCTGGAAAATTGAGTTTTGAGTTGGGATTCGTGCCGCATCCGAGTGTGTGGCACGTGATCAGCTGCATCTCGTGTCTCGGACCGTGAATCCAAGCAAAGTGTGGCACTTGGACGAAAAACGACCTGTCTGGAGACAGCCGCCGGCACGACAGTGGGATTGAGTCTGGGCTTTTTTGTGGATGTGGTATCAGGGATGCATTCAAGGATCAGCAAACCCAGCCTAGCCCCTTGTACATGTATTAAAGGGTACACTGGGTTGATCGGAGCTAGCCGTGGCCATGATTCTCGCAATGTTGTTTAAGCCGCCGGTCGCTGCATCAGGCTCTGCATCCAGCGTGCTTTTTTTAACACATAGAAAAGACAGAACATTCAACTTCTACTAGTACTGTACGTTCCTGCGACTTACCAGAAGTATCCCTTTTCGACACGGCGATCCGAGACTGCCTGTTTCCCTCGTCCTTCACGAAAAGTCACGAGATACTCGGATGGTGCTGGATTGGCTGCTCGAGCCAAAGTGTCAACAAAAACAGGCGGGCGAGATACTAGTACTCGATCGTCTTGTCGAACATGATAGCACGGGATAGGCCCGTTCCTTGATCAAAAGACCAGCCGGTGCGGACGACAAGAGCAAAAATGACCCTCTCACACGACATGCCGATTCATTTGGTATTTCGTTTGTCCAATATGTCTTCGACGAGCTCCATTCTATCGATCCAGATACAAACACGTTTCGTAGGAGAGAGGACGAAATCGATTACGACAAAAAAGTCGGGGTGTTACTTTAGAGGACGAGGAAGACTGCGCCAAGGCCCGCAACGACGCTCGAGGTGGGCGGCAAAAGAGAGGAGGCAGATGTCGCAGCGGGGGTGCTGTCGTCGTACTACCACTCGTCGTCGTTGTTGGTGGCACCGTCGTCGTCGTCGTTGCGGTCGTTGTCGCGGGCGGCGTCGTCACCGCTGGCGCATACTTCTCCGTCTCATATTGATAGTCCTGTTTCTTTTGAGAACCAGCAGCTCCTACATTATTTGGAATTGCGGCGATCCAATGGCGCCAATGAAAAGATCCCGATTTCGTTTTTCACCTGAAACAGTCGATTCTGTGATACGGCATTCCATTTTGGAGCAAGCGCCATCGTCGAGCTGCTCGATCGACGAATCTTTTGAGGACTAGATGTTTTTGAGAAACATCATTACAACAGCCTATAATTATGTTTACCATCTTATCGATCGCAGTGGAGAGCGCTACGTTGCCGTGGACACTTGAATTAAGTAATCCAACGACCCTAACCCCTTGAAACGAAACGCAAAGACTGTTGTCGACTGTCACGCATCGATGCGCAGTTATGCCCGTGTCGACTTGGTGTGTACTAGTATGTTACTAGAGCCAGAAACCTCTTGTACACACGTGTTGCACCAAGGGAATAAATATGTGTTGCACTACCGGTATCACCAAGGCTCATCACCATCAAACGTCGAGAAAACATCAAAAAACTTTCGTTTGCGCAATTTTGGAATTGACTTGAGTCTTTATGTCAATCCCGAAATTCCAAATCCGCCATTCTCCTGGTGGAAACGTTTACGTGGTGCACCAGCATCCCAGCATCCCAGCATCCCGGCGGATAAATTCGTATACTCTAGGCAACCCATTGGCTACAATTCCAGCTTTTTCGATTAATGAAACCGCGTTTCATTGGTCTCAGCCAATCGCATCGCGCGGAGCATGTCCCGTCAAGTGCGATTTTGTAGTCCCTGTTAAGCGCTGTCACATCATGCACATTATACATCTTTTTGTATCCATGAAGTACGATGCACTTATCGGGGTACATTACACACGTCCTTGCAGCCGCACCTAAATAGAGCCTCTGAGGCCCCTTGAATTTCTGGACAGCGGACGTGCGCAAAGACGATGTGATGGCAACGACGCCCTCTAGTACCATGGGGCCTCACGGGAAGCGTGAGGCCACAAACGGTATACGAGGCAAAACTCATTCAGAAGCGCGCTCGTCTTTTACAAGATCCAAGTCTACTACAACAAGACGTCGGCCGAGCTCAAGCGCATGGACTCGACGACGCGGTCGCCGGTCCTCAACGTCATTGCCGAGACCATCAACGGCCTCTCGACGATTCGGGCGTTTGGCATGACGACAGCCTTTGCCGCCAAGGGCCGCGCCGCTCTCGACTACAACCAGCGCTTCTTCCTCGTTTACCGGCTCGCGACCCGATGGCTGCAGATGCGTCTCGATTGGCTCTCGGCCAGTATCATTGCTGGCGTTGCTTTTCTCGTCGTTGCTTCCAAAGACTCGATCGGCGTCATCGCTGCTGGCCTCGCGCTCACGTACGCATCCCAGATGACGGCCTTCTTCTCCAAGATGACCACATCACTCTCGTTCATCGACAACATCATGACGTCGGTGGAGCGTCTCGACCACTTCAAGACACTCGAGACCGAAGGTGACACACGAGCCGTCACGACGACCGTCGAAGCGTCGTGGCCAGCCCAAGGCGTCGTCACCTTTGACCACTACGCGATGCGGTACCGCGACCACCTCGACCTTGTCCTGAAAGACGTGTCGTTTACCGTGCCGGCTGGCGCCAAGGTCGGCATCTGCGGCCGCACGGGCTCGGGCAAGAGCTCGCTCATGGTCGCGCTCTTCCGCATGGTCGAGGCGGCCTCTGGTCGCATCCTCATCGACGGCGTCGACCTCGCATCGATCGACTTGCACACGGTGCGGTCGCGGCTCACCATCATCCCGCAAGACCCCGTCCTCTTCTCGGGCTCGCTGCGCTC